AAGTTTCAGCCTTTGCATTCGAAAAGGTGGGATCCCCTGCAAGATCAAGAAAACGCACAGGACCCTGCACAGGGGTCAGAGCTTGTCGAACTCGATGAACCAAACTGTTCGAAACAGCTGTGTCAGGTTGCGTTTCCAGGCGATGAACTCTTTCTCGAGCCACCTCGGCACGAATATGCTCACTTGCAACACGCACCAAACTGGAGCCATGAGCAACCCAGTAAACAGAAGCTCGGATGCGGCCGTCATCGTTCTTGCGGGGCTCTATGGCGCAGACCAATGCCGGGCCACGCCAGCGAGTGGGGTCAAGTTTGTTTTCCCCCTGTCTCCAGTAGTAGATCCAATCGCCAAGGCTGGCGGCCACATGTTCAGACCGTGGCCTGGCAAGAAGTGCACGTTTGAGCAGCTGGTTGTTGTTGGCTTCATAAAATGCTTTTGCTGCTGAATACCGAAGTGCTTGATCTTTTTGGTGCTGTTCCGTGTCATCGAGCGGTTTGGACAAGTACGGTTCATCACAAAGACCGTTCGATTGAGGATTGTGTCCAAAAACGATTTGGTATGGTGAGCTACCATGCACTGAACGAAGACGGTTTCGTTGATGACAAGCAACTGGAACAGCTTCTTCAAGGAGTACATTCGGTTCATCTTGTTGCATCTTGAGCAGCTGCATTCTTCTCACAGCGTGGAGTCTTTCCACTGATCCCATTCTATAGTGAGCTTCTTTGGGCACGAGGATCAGCTTGATGTTGTTTTGGTCGAAGAAGTCCAGATACTTCTGACTCATGTGAGCTCCTGACTGGTCTGTTCGGAATCGTTCTGGAGGACCAAAAGTTTGAAGCCATTGTTCACGAAGTATCTTAAGTTCAGCTTCTTCAGTTTCTCTCTCCAACACAGCATTGATTTCGTACTTGGAGTAGATGTCGAGGATGGCCAAAACCTTTCGCTTTTCTCCATTCCAGCGGATGTGAAAAACATCAGCTTCCAAACATTCATTGAAGTGACTGGCCTGAGGCAGTGAAGCTGGTTTCTCCAATTTCCGTTGTGCCTGTTGCTCACACACTTCACACTTGTAGTCTTTGGCACATCGGATCAGAGACTCATCCATACCTGCATCTTTGAGCGTTTTGATCATCCGATCTACACCTGGATGTCCAAGTTGCTTGTGCAGTTTGCTGATGACCTGTAGGTTTTGCTTGCTGTGGGTCTTCATCAGCTTCTTCTCTTCTTCAGTGATGTTGGATGCATTCTTCACTTTATTTTTCTCATCCTGCTCTTCAACCATATAGATCTTGGCTATCTCTCTTTGTCGCCATCGTTCTTCCATCTCCTGATAGATGGCATTTGCTGCTCTTTTCACGAAGCCTCTTTCGTAGTTTTGCATTTTCTTCAAGCTTTCTGCTTTTCCATCCATAGCAACATGCTCTCCAGAAAGACATTCACATGGAAGATCCAGTGCTTCAAAGACCATTTGGCTGTTTGTGCGAATCCTCGTAGGTTTCTTGACCTTTCCGACATAGTTTCCCATGCGATCATAGTAGCACAAACCGGTCCTGCATCGGTTGCAGATTGCATCATAACCATCCATGGACTCCAGGGTTTTCGTCTTCCATGACATAGCCAAATGAGGATGCTCCATGGCCATGCCGGCATTGATCTCCCAGTTGCAGATGTCGGTGACATCCAAAACCAGTTTCAAATGTTGCTTTTCTTCTTGCTTTTGCAATTCCAGGATGTAGGCTAGCTTTTCGGCCTTGATCATATTGAGCCTTTGCATTGGTGACCATTTCGTACACGGTGGTGCACACCAGATGAAGTGAGGCTTTTGTTCTCTCACCAACTTGAGGAATGCTTTTCGGTCATTTTCTTTTTCAAAGTCCCAATGAGGTAGGCTGAAAGTAGCGACCTCACAGTCTGGAAAGCGTTTCAACAGTTCTGTAGCCAGGTTGCCTTCATCCACATAGACCTCAAAGAAGATCAATTTTCTTTCTTGTTGAAGGCGCTGCAAAACTTGTTGAGAAATCTCTTCAACTTCATTTGCTTCGGACTCCATGAGGATCTGCTCTGCAATGTCAGACGGTTCTGTCTCACAGGGCGGTTCAATTTCCAGTGGACTTGTCGTGATCAAAACCTCTTCTTCCATGATGTAGTTCATCTCTTGTTCGTCTTCATGATATTCCAACAAGTTCAAGACATAGTGGCCTTTTTGTCCACGACTTGGTTGAAACCATTCGGATTGAGCCACCTTCATGTTGCCACTGGCGTAGTCTTGTTTCACCCCCCATTGTTCCAGCATTGGTCTCGCCAACAGGAAGGGAGTGTGCCCAGGTACCACTGAAACCGTGATGGGCAGCTTTTGACCTTTCACCAAGGCGTTGAAGGAGATTTCGTAGTTGGATTCAAGCATCTCTCCGCCGCCGAACTTGAAGGATCGCTTTTGTGCCTGAGTACGGAGAGGTCCAAGTAGGCCTTCATCATAGTGCTCGACCCATTCTTTCCACACTTCTTCTCCGACCAATGTTCTTGTTGCACCTGAATCCACAATTGCGTGACCCGGAGCAAGGGTGGCAAAGAAGATGTCCTCTTGAAAGCACTCTTCCGCTAGTTCCTCCACCATGGTCACTTCTTCACCTCCAACTTCTTTGACACCTTGTGCTTGCACTCGATATCGTTTGAACCTCGGTCCATGAGAAGAATTGGAACCGGTCAGGGTCGATCTCAACTCGGAGGAGGTAGTAGTCGACGATGATGGTGGCTTTCGAAGACCATGCATTGGGCGTCGAGGAAACATGCTTTTTCCTTTGCCTTTTCCCTTTCCTTTTCCTTTACTCTTTCCTTTGCCCTTTGAGCTTCCCTTTCTTTCGCTTTTGCCTCCTTTGCCATGATCGAAGTCAGGACCAATGGCCACGACGGGATAGAAGCCACGGGCCAAGGCAAGTTCCTTCATTCTTTTTCTTGATTCCAAGTAGGAGATGTAGGCTTCATCCATGTTTTCGTATGCTTCTTCAAGCTCCTCAGGGATTTCTTCTTCATCTTCATCACCTTCATAGTAGACTTCGTGCCAATCATCTTCTTCTTCTCCTTCGTAGTAGAACTCCTCATCAAAGTCTTCCTCATAGAAGAACTCATCTTTGGATGACTTGGCAACAGGTCCAATGTCCTTGGTGTTTGGTTTGTGATCTCCACCAAACATACGAAGCAAAGCTCGTTGGACCTCTTCATAGTCAAGCTCGCCTTTGCACAATGCTTTCACTTGCACGTGTGTCCATTTTGGAGTTCCACTTCGGGTCAACAAGTGCCATCCAGCAAGAAGTGGTGGAATGTCGATCTTGACCTCTCGAAGTTTCTTCAAAGCAGTGCGGTGGCGAATGAGATATGCCTGCATTTCTTCTCCCTTCTGACGATTGAAGCTTTGAAAGAACTCTTCACACCGATATGGAACCTCAATTTGTTCTTCATATTGAAATAGCTGGTCCATCATGGTGAACAAAGGTGCGAACGGATTTGTTCCACTTGTGATTTCTTTCAAATCTATTTGTTCTGCTGCATCCCAAACAGTGTCCTTGAGGAGGCTGATGACCAAAAGAGCACCTTCAATCTCAGCATCCGTTGAGCGTCGACGACACTGCAGGGCATACAATTCCAATCGTCTTCTGTAGCTGCGATAGCCACTTTGCGTTAGCCCCTCGGCCGATGGTGCGGCCTTTGCCAAGCCACTATCCAATCCACGATAGTTGTTGGATCCAGAGGAAGGAGTTCCTGGACTAGCTCCATTCGCTGCACGTGGAGGAGAAGGAGGTATGGGGACATCAACTGGTTGTTCACCTTCTGGTCTATCTCGCTGTCTTCTTTGCTGACCACTCATTTGTGACTGCCTTGCTGAACGTGATCTTTAAGATGATCTAATTCTCACCGGCCAGGATTACCCTATAGGCGTCTTCAAACAAAAAGTTCACCCTGGTCAAATTCCGGGAGGATCGTCTTGGGCTCCGCTACCAATCTCGAAGTACTTGAACTCACGAAGTTCCAAGCAACAAAGAAAAAGAACTCGAAGGCCGCGATGCGTCCTTTCTCACGATGCCAACGGGTGGCGAAGGTCGTCGCCGAACGTGACTCAAGGGCCCTTCGGCCGGATTTGAGAATTGAAATTCGATTGCGGCGTGACTTGAATGTCATCTATCCGCTCTCATCATGAAATGCATTGCAAAATGGAAAACAAATCTCACATGTGCATTCGCAACATTGACAATATCTGAATATATCTGATATGATTTGGTCATATTTGGTCTAATATGCATGGCAGGGATGCCAGATCCTTGCTGCTAAGGACAGCAGGTCATCTACGAATAGATCAAAAACATTCAACACTGCTTTTGTTGCGGCACTCAGCGGGTGTTAGACTCTCACTGGAAACAATTCAGTTTTACATATTTGGGGCCCGATTGTGCCTGGATACTCTGCTACCCATGCCATTTCGGATTGAACTCACCCAAGTCCGGATAAGCCAGAAGAATGCTGATTGGAAGTGAGCAACCCACCAGAGTTGCTCACCGAGCAGTTCCCTTTTTTCGCCTGTTCCCCATCTGTCCGCTGTATCGATCAAGCAGCTGAGCAGTGCGAGACCATGGCCACGGCCCTACCCCACCGGGTTGTTGTTGGAAACAGCAACGGCTGGTTGGAGATTCATGCAACGGCTGTTGGGGCCCTTCCTCGACCACTCATGACCACTCGACCGAATTCACCGTTTTCTTCAAAGGGTGACTTCTTCTCATCCCATTTTTGACCGTCCATATCACGATGGAGGGTCATTCACTTTTCCTTAGTTGGGTTGCTATATGTTGCTATACTAATCATCAACATAGTCCAAGGGTCCAATGTGTTGCCTGAACCGGCACGCCAAACTGGCTCTCTTCTGGCACGCCAGCACTTGCAGGGTCAGGTGTCCTCAATCCTTCGCCTTCGCCTTCGCCTTGAGCCGCCTCGCTGCATCGGCGGTCTGCCAGGATGCTCACCATCTTGTGTTACCTCAATCCTCACTGGCGCCCGGGCGACGGAGGCCGAGCGTCGTCGCCGCCTCGATGAGTCGGGGACAGCGTCTTCGTTCGGGGCGCCGGCGAGCTGGAGCTGGAGCTGGGAGGCTTCGGTGCGCCGGATCCGGCATGTCGGTGGGGGCCAAGTGGGGTGGTTTCATGTGGTTTAGATGGAACCCTGAGGGGTGCTCTGATGCCCATCCGTGGCTTTCGGAACTTCCGTTTTCGGAGCCTCTGTCGGGGTGGACCTGTCCGGAGCTGGACCTCTGGAAGAATCCACCGCAGGTCGGAGCACATGGGAACCCCCGGTCGGTGCATCCGAAACCACTGGTCGGTAGAGGAAAACACTTGACACCAGAGGGGCAGGACCGACGATGCGGACGGACCCGGGTCCATGGGACGATACGACTCGGGCGATCCGTCGGTGTCGATCCTGCTGTTGGGAACGTACCAGTTGAACCAGTTCCTTGGTAACGCACCAGTTCAACCGGTTGCATTTGCAAAACGGGAGCTGGAAGCTTGAAAAGGCCGTGAAAAACCCGCATATAAAGGACGTGAACAACCCGTGATTTGCCCGTGAAAACAGGGCGAAAGGCCGTGCAAAACCGAACATATAGGTCATTAGGTCGTTGGGAGGGGTGAAGCAGCTGCGTCCTTTACGGATGACGCACCAACCCTAAACCCGTTCCTTTGGACTGGGAGACGGGTAGGGTCGGGGAGGACGGAACGACTGCAGCGACCGTTGTCGTGTTCGCCCAAGCTCTGGCTATAGACTGGCTGCGACCATGTTGTCGTGTCCTTTTGATTGTCTGCGTGTGAGAATCGCGGTCGAACACTTTTTTTGCCTGCACTAAGTACGAATCTCAAGATTGGACCCAGAAAAACTGTAGTAATTCGAATTGAACCTATAGAGAATCCTAGAGAATCTTGCAGCGTTTATTTCAGCCGTCCACTGTTTTGTTTTGCGGCAATTGAAGAAACACGCCGCTTTGCCAGAGACGCTGCATTCCTAGAAACACGCTGCATTCCTAGAAACACGCAGCGACTTGCTTTTACCAAGCTTCACAAAAGCACACCGCACACTGACATGGGCAAACACGCCGCAAAAACGCGGGCAAACACGCCACAAACATTAAACACGCTGCATTATATGTTTGTTTTTGTTTCGACTTGAGGTCCAAACCCCGAGTTGAGTCAAAATGACGCAATCCTAGAAACACGCCGCAACCCCAAAATAGTCGCGGCACTTCTTCAAAACCTGGCTTTTCCTGAGCGGCATCGAAATTTTCATGCCAGTGGAGTCTGTATATACTACCTGCATGTAATAGAATCGTATTGAATCTCAAATTATTCTTCGAAGATCATGTTCTCGCATTTGACCCATCCCGTGCATCCTGGATTGGTCATAGTCATAGTCCGTTTCAAGCCGATTGTTTTTCGGTCTCCAGGAGAGCTCCGCGTCTTCAACACCTTGCGAGAAGCTCCTGCATCGCCTGTGCCCTCGGCGACGCGTAAATGAGCGGTTTTGGGAGGAGCTCGGCGGCTTGGAAAACAACAAAATTCTAATTATATCATTGATCTGTTTTTGGAAGGACATTGGACGCTGGACACAGCCTGACTACCACAAGCAATGGAAAAAATGGACCAAATTTCGGGTGGTTGGTGGTCCAACAATAGAGGTCACAGAAAGGCTCTTGGAGTCATTTTCGCTCCACGCCCTTCAGATCCCAAAAGGACTCTCCGAGTCATGCTTCATACAAGAAAGTGGACTTCGCCACCAATTCTTCTTTTTTACATGGTTTTCCAGGGGCCAGGCCATTTTCCATGTGAATCAGTTAAAGTGTTTAGGATCCAAAGTTTGATCAACACCCATGGTCATGCTTGCTCTTTGGCGGCTTACCAACGTTCTTCACGTAGGCATCCGCCGATCCGGCAGGGCCCTGGGCGCCGGGTGCCAGAGCTGCTGCAGATCACCGCGGATCATTCCGAGTCCACGACGACGACGAGTCACGGAGAAGCCTTTGCCACCCGGCCCGGAAGACACGCGACGCGACCCGCGTGACCGGGGTGGAGCGGGTGGAGCGGGTGCGAACGTGGGACGGGCCAGGCCCTGGTGGTTGGGGGCCTGGAGGATCAAACAGAACCGTTTTTTTTTTTTTTTCCGAGGATGTGATGAGATATGATGGGATGTGCATAAGTTTAGCTGGCTTTGGCATGGCCAATTGTTTAGCTGCATGGGAAGTGTTGTTTCTTACGACTCTCCGTCTCAAGACAAGGTGCGAACGTTCCATTTGTTGAGTCTTGGCCCGCGAAAGCAAGCGCCCAGAAGACTCTGCTCCTTTCAAAAGCTGTAACTAAACCAAGGGGTTCCATAGACCAAGCGACCAAGCAGGGAACGGGAACAAACTCGTCCACCAACTTGATCCCCGCAACGTCTTTTGAAATTCTCACCCTTGGAGCCCATCCCTGGATCATTTGCAACTTCGGAGCCCCCCAAGACTCCCCAGACCACGTGTCGCGTTCATCCCGCTGGCACGTTCGGCGGGTCCCGCGGGGCCCTCAAGGTGGACGTGGAGCCCTTGCTGGGGCGCATCGTGATCTTTCGCTCGCGGGAAGTTTGGCATGGTGCCACGGATATAGTGCAGGTGGTGCAGGTGAAAGTTCGAGAGGGACCTCCCATAGAGCTGAGGATTTTTTGAAGATTTGAAGCTCTGAACAGATGTATCCACCCATGTTTGAAATCTTTGAAGCGCCAGGACCTTTTGGACAAGACGACACCGGACCAGAAGTTGTTTATAATTGTTTTTGTTTTACTTTTTACATGGAGCCATGATCAACTTGGTTTGCTTGGCTACCCCAGCTTTCCCATCAGATCTCAAAAGTGGGTGTGGTGATAGCCCCAATGCTCACACAGTGACAACCCCTTGGAAGTTCAGGAATTTTGGAAGAGACTTGCCTGTTCGATACATGGGTATCTATCTTGAAATGCCTAATTTTAATCTAATTTTATTATGTAGACTATGTTTTGATTAATCACCCTCCATTTGGATTTAGCAGTTTCTTCATATATATATATTATATACTCAATGAGAGAAAGAGTCTACAAAATTCTACAACAACCTATACTAACTATACAATTTTATAGATCTATCAAGGATGATAGACCCTAACCCAGAGTCTATTTATAGGACGTTTCATCCAATGTCCAGTCCAAAGGACACTGAACCAAAACGGACAGCCCATGGGTCCCAACGTTCGTCGCCACGACACGAGAGATTAAGACCCAAACAGGTGGTTTTCACGTCACGCAACGATCCCGAAGGCTTCAAGTCCCGATTTCCAGGCATTCAGCCCTCGAAAGCGCCACGCCGCTGGGCGGTCACACTTTGGGTCCTTGCAGATGGGCAGCCGGAATGACGACCGGAGAAAGGATCTGCGGATCCGGTGGTGTTGGGAGAAAGAACCGTGCGGGGAGAGCGGGGAGACGGTGTTGGAGATGGGTCGCGCTAACGGACACAGATGGTGCAGAGGTTGATCGGCCATGAAAGGCCACAAAGAGGGATGCGAGATGTGCCCCTATGTGCATGTCTCATTGTGTCAGAGTTGATTACCGCTCGTGATCACTCGTGTTATACCGTTTCGAGCCCTTAAAGAGCAGTACGGTCCTAATTGTTTACTCAGTAAGAAGAACAGTACCCTAGATTTGGCTGTGGGTCCAACGCAGTAGACACACACTTGTGGGGTCCTTCGTAAGTCATATCGTTTATAGTCATGGACTTTTCCTTCCAACCATCATCCTTTATCCTTTCCTTTCCGTGTCATGACACCGTGCACCCAGGGGCTCGCCCGAAGAGGAGACCGGAGCCGCTCGCCGCTCGAGCCGCTTGAGCCGCTCGCTGGTCGGAGGGACCGGAGTCGGTTTGGTTCGCGCGTCGTCAGCGCGTGGAGGTTGGGAGCATCAAAGCCACCGAGAAGTGGTCCGAAGAAGAGATGACTGGGGTACGGTTTCCAGTACACACTCTCTACGTGGGGGATTTACGAACTTATCTATTTGGGGGTCTATCTTGGAAAGATTTGGGGTGCTAGATCTTTTTTGGCCAGGTCTTGTCTGGCGTTTTGTGTTCGTAAAGCACAGAATGGCGTTCGTCACCAAGGGGTGCCTTCCATGGAGGTCAGGGCTCCCCGGGTCACCTCACTGGATGGGACTCAAAACCACGACCATGCGACTCCTCACTCAGATGTCTTCGCAGAAAGACACAGCTCGAGAGGCTGGAAAAGAGGAGCGTTCGGTGACCGATACCATCCGATACTTCTGGACTTCTGTGTTCTAACCTCCAACGTTTACAGCTCACATCCCCGGCTGCCAAGGACTTGGATAGAGCTTGGATGAACTTCGAATCCATGAAAGCAGCAAAAGGCACCAAAAGCTGACTGAGCACCCCTGAAAACAACGGAGATCTGCCCACCGCAACGGACCGTCTTGTAGACGCGACGCTCACATGACCAACAACCATCAGCAACAGCAACCCCTGGGTATTGGGATTTTGTTGGGCTTTGGTGGTCCCTTTCATGATCCAGGTCATTCGCAACATTCACTTTTGAGTGGAGCGTTGTTTTTGCTCGCGCCGCTGTTAGCGACCCCAGAGGAAATCGCTATGTTTGGTGGGGTGGGGTGGGGCATGTTAACAATCGCTTGCACTTACGTGACGAAGTTGATGCTACGTTGTGGATGTGGGGTGGGGTGGGGTGGGGTGGGGCATGTTAACGTTCGCTTGCACTTACGTCCTGAAGTTGATGCT